ATAGTGGATCCTCTGATGATGGTAATGAGCAGCAGCTGAGCAGGAGGCTCTGCTCAGGAGGATCCACGGCGGACTCTGCTGGAGAAAGATAGTACTACTCCAGCTCCCAACAGTAGTGTAAAAATATAAAAACTGTGCACCTTGAGAATAAATAACCAATATACAGCTATGGACATTTTGACATTAATGGATATTTGAAAAGAGCAGCAACATCAGAGATGTGCAAAAGGACAGCATTATGTTATTTAACTGGCTAAGATACAAACTGTAAAAAAATCAATATGAATGTAACAACTTATTTAGGTTGCTGGGAACAGTGATCGTTATTAAGTCTTACAGCTGTTGGGAAGAAGGATCTAGGATAACGCTCCCTGGTGCACTTAGGGAGCAGCAGTCTGTCACTGAAGAAACTCTCTAGTCCTGAAACAGCTTCATGCATGGGGTGGGAAACATTATCCAACAGAGATTTTCATTTGGTTAGGATCCTTTTGCTTCCCACCTCCTGCACTGAGTCCAGAGGGCATCCAACCACAGAGCCGGCATTTCTGATCAGCATATCCATCAGCTTTCTCTGTTACAGATAAGCCACTGCTCCAACAGACAGCTCCATAGAAGATGGCTGATGCCACAACAAAGACATAGAAGGACTTTAGGAGCGCCCCCTGCACTCCAAAATACCTCAGTTTCCTCAGCAGGAAGAGACTGCTCTGACCTTTCTTATACAGACTATAAAGTAAATTTATTATTATCTAGCTCTTTGGAAATCCCTCTCTGGTGATTAAATGATCTTTAAATCTGTAAAGCTATATTATATTACTATTTTTGTGTTAGACAAAAAGAGGTGTTTTAACATATAATTTGTATATATGTATATGTGTATATTATATCCTATCAACAAAATTAAATATTCATGGTAACACTTTTCAATAACCTTCATCTTTAGATTGTCAAGAGACCAATTATTATAGATTAAAAGATGGTTTATTAATGTTTAATTTTCATTTATAAACCGAATCTAAGCCTCTTATAAAATGTTAATTAGATTACCATTTATAAATTATGGTAATGATGATTGGTGCAACCATATTCGTATATGTATTATATTATAATACTATGTAATTTTATGTAATATAAAATTACATTTATACATGAAACAACATAAAGCAGAAGAAGGAGCCAACCAATAAAAAAGACCCAATATATAAAATAAAAACTATGAAACATGATCAAAACATATTCAAACATTAAAGGTTATTGATAGAATTATTCTTACTTTTGTGTTATCTAATGTCAATGACTATAAAGTTTAAGGTAAAATTTTCATTATATATTTTCTCAAAATCAAGCATGTAATAAATAGAATTTATTATCTACCGGTATATAAAATTTTTACTTTTTGTGCTGTCAATGCATAAATGGTTTTTAAGAAATACTTTTAAATTCACAGCTTCAGGAAATATACAACAGACTGTTGGAAGAGAGCAAAGAATCCAAAAGCTATTTAAAGTCAATATTAAAAGCTCTTTTTACTAATCTTTCATCATTTGAATTGCTATAAAGTGTAAGTGAGCTGATGAACGTGTCTATGAAATGACACTTACTGCTACGGTGATTTCGTTTTTTTCCATATCAGACAAAATTTTCATTATTAGATATAAACTATATGAACAACACAAATGTTATTAAATTATTTAAATGGAAAATGTCCCATTTTGGAAAATCTGATCCTTTTTCTTCTAAAATTTATTTGCATCAGTTTTGATAAAATGCGTCTTTATTTTCTTATTCTGTGCTTATTTGAATAAAACATTTTAATAAAAACTGCTATATGCTAAAAAAACATATGTCCCAATTTTATTCCACAGTTTTACATAAGGTCTGTATATACACATGTGGTAAGGATTTTATTATAAACCTAATCTTTGTCTGTTTCATGAAATGTTATGGATGTCTGTGGTAAGTCTTTAATATTTCTAACTTTTCTCTTTAAAACCATCATCCTCAAAAGAGAATAGACAGATTATTTCTAACAAGTCAGACACAGTATCAGAAACTATTTGATCTACAGTGTTAATTTGTTAATTAGCTGTTCTAATAAATCCTGTTTCTTGTCATGACTTACATTTCTTTGTTTTTTGAAAGTGTATTTCTGCCAAAGACAAAGACAGTTGTCAAATCTGCTACATTAGAACATGGTGATTCATAAATGCACAATGCATTCTTATGAAATTTGTCATAAAATACCCTCTAGGCTTTTAATGGCTTTCAAATCCTAATGTCTTGAGGCATGGAGCTTTTTTATACTCAGTTAAAAATTTAGATTTTTATTCTATTTTTCACGCCTCCTATGAGACTACATGATCCCATTAGCTTCAAACGCTTGTAGTCCACATAAAATGCAGACAACAAGCTGTTTGTTAAGGAACTCTGCGCATTCTAGCATAAGCCTGTTTCAAACCTCTTTTATAGGGGTTTATCTATAGCAGGGCTCTAAACAATGCTGCCTTTAGAGGGTTAAATAACTAATTTGATAACATTTACCACATTAAAGCAAGTTTGGCAGTACATGCATGAATTTCCTGGTTATGGAAATAAACTGGAAAGACCGGAACACAAGTTCATGCTGCAGGATCTTCTTATCAGTCATTTGACTCATTTTATATTGAAATGAGCAAGTCATGTGGCTGCTCATGACTTAGGTTATGTGCATCAGAAAAATATTTTCATTTGTTTAAATCATAAGGACATTACTGTCACACCGCAAGGAACCTTTAAAGATAGTTGCTGTTTGAAAATATGCCTATTACCACTGCAAGGTGTGAAACTCCTGTTGCCTCCAATTTAAGCTACTGTAATTGTTGCCATATAATACTGGATGGTTGTTTTTTTGCATTTTTTATGAGAAGTACTGCCAGTCAACTCAGGAATAATTTTACTGTTTTTAAAGGTAACAGTTTTCCTCTGACCTATTTCTGGTTTGCTTTTCCCTTAAAAGCCCTGAGGCCATTTGGCTAGTCCTATTATGGTCTTCTGTGACTACCTACAGCCCTAGCCATTGCAATTTATATCCTGAAGAGCCTAGGTGTGCAGGGAGTATTACTTTTAAAAACTAATTACCAAAACCTTAGCCTTAATTTAGATGCATTATTTTCTATTTATATGTATTCTATTATCAGCTATTTTTTCATCTGTTTGTCAGATTTTAGGTGAGTGTATTTTGCTTTGATTTGAATGAAATATGGTTAATAATTAAAATTTCCGTTTGTCTTAATGATATTGTAGATTTCTTAACCATTTAAGAAAACTAAAGAAGCCACATTCAGACTGAATGTAAGCTGTGTTGTTTTCTATTTATGTTACTTCAGTAATTTCATAACTATATGTGTATATTCAGTTTTCAAAAATTTATGATTTTACCCTTCAGATTTGGTATTATACTCTTTGCTTCTATGTTTTCTCTTAATGAAAATGCCAAAGAAAATTTTGGAGTAACCTGGATTTTCACAGACTGTACGGAACAGAGAGAAACTCGTTATTTACCATTCTCCACTTATTGATGCACCCTGCTGTTCAGCTGACTGCAAGAAGGCTGTTACTTGTAGTAAAAAAAACAAACATCTAAGTCATAATTAATTATTCATTTTTGCTTCAAATCTACGTTTTATATTTGTATTTCTAATCAAGGTCTTTTATGATGACCAACGCTTAACAAGACCACACAGTTTTCTCCTTTTAAATACTATAATTAAAGTAGTTAGATATCTGAAAAACAACAACACTCAATTGTGATACTAATGCCAAATTTAACGCTTATAAATTTTTTTGCCATTCACTCCTATTTTTTTCTCAGTATTTTCCCTGTAGTCCAATATTGGAATATTGCTAAAACTTACTGTGAACTAAGGATCTCATCACTAACAATATACATTTGTTGTGGATTAAAAGAATTTAGAGACATCTAACAAGCCAAGTAATTAACTGGCATGCAGAGTGGGAAGGCATGGATGTTGATGTATCATATTCAACCAAATATTACATCAGTACTTCAAACTGATATTAAAATTGAGCCTAAAATGTTAAGCATATCATCTGATCTGGCTCTTATTTGAATTAAATAATATAATTCTAACATGTCAAGCAAATTTGGAAAACTAAACAATAATTATAATGTGCAAAACACTTAACTTGGAGAAAATTAAACAGATTTTACTTTGAACTGAACCCACTTGTAAAGCTCAGCCTATTTACAATGGACCTGTAGAAAAAAAACAAAAGAAACATATTCCACTGGGAAAGATTGACACAAGGCGTGTTTGCTAAAATTAACTTTTGACAAAAAAAGTAATGGTTCCATTGAGTGGGTTCAGAGTTTTCAAGCTATTGAAAAAACTGTGTTTCAACTTTTAAATTGAAACCTGAACTTCTTGGTTACATTAACAAAAGAGCAAAGCCACTCCTTGTCCTCAGCTCAGAGCACACCAAGTTTCAAGTGCCACTTCATCCGCCTCACTCTTCTGCTCAAATGAATTCAGCGGCAGCGTGACTCACTTAAATGAGGAATGAGACAAAACAATTCCAGCTCATTTGACGCACAGTACCTGCAAGTTCACAAAGTCACACGTCACATGGCTTACTCTGATATAGACTGGAGACAAAAGACGTGGAAGAAACCTGAGCTTGCAATGCTCCTCTTTGTTACCATGACGACAGTTGTCGTCTATAGCCCTCAGTTGAAAAGGGAGCAGGCTCAGAGGACGGCTGAAAGAAGACTCCACCCACTGTGGGAATTCACAGATCTAACCTGGCAACTAAATACTTGTTGTACCTGTGAACAAACAGTCACTGAGCATCAACAAGGACTCATATTCTCCAAGCCATTTTTCTGTTTTATATACATAAATAAATGTTTAACCTCTGTTCTGTCTGACCTCTCTAAATCATGCAGGTGGATGCGGTATAGGGTGTGTTTCTGTGCAAGCAGGTGTAGCAGCAGGTTGAACAGGTTGTAAATGTCAGGCTGTTAAGCCCTCCCCTTTCTTCTATACCCAATTCTACCTGCAGGACAACTGCTGATTCATTCTTACATATTGGAAGGTCTGAAAAGAGATTTGTGTGCACCTGTTCTCATCTGACACAGCTGAATAACAAGGTAAGGATTTTCTAGGATTAATTTAATCTTAGAATACTTACAGTCATGGAAAAAAATATTAGACCACTCTGGTTTTCTTTAATTTCTGTTTCTAATGGCGCATTACTTGAAGAATAAAATAAATAAAGAAGAAACCAAGGACGGTCTAATTTTTTTTTTTCCATGTCTATGTATGACTCAGGGCCTTATATAATCCTTTCAGGCAAAGCGCTGGTTTTACAAGAATTTATATTCAAAAGAGCAGACAAAACAATAAGGAAGTGGATATACTTTGTTTTAAAACAAAATTCAACAATGATATAAAAACAAACTGAACAAGAAAACATAAGAGACTGTTGAGGCATAATTGATTTTTTATCTGATTTGATGTTATATAAGACAGAAGTAGCAATGCTCCACTTACTCTACCAAAGATAACAGCTCTATGAAAGCCTAAATGTTAGAAATGTTGCAGTTAAAGGAAAATCCTCAACAGCTTAAATGTCACTCAATTAGTCATGTTTCTGTTTGTGTGGTGGCCGAATGGTGTTTGCAGGGTATAGTGTTTCCTTTAGCCACTGTTTGTTCCTTTGTTTATGCTGGACTGATCTCTGGAAAGTTGAAGCTGACAGGGTTGTTGAGGCGATAGCTGCTACACACTCTGACAATCCAGCAGAGTGGGAACACTTTTCCACAGAAGAATCCGCTGAGCGTGACGGGTCCGAGGTAAACACGTCTCCTGTTGGCTTGTTGGTGTGACGCCTATGGTCAGATATACTCTCAGAGCTGTGCCATGGGAGGACGCCAGAATAACACGATGGACAGAAAGTGACAGTGGTTTGGAATTAAACTACCCACATATGTGGGTAGCACAGCTCAAAATGTTAGCAATGTTTGACAGATCTGAATTATAGCACATGGTCAGTGGGATTAAGAGATTTTTTTTTAGGTCTAAGGTTTGAGCATAATTAGAATTTTTCATGACTGTTGTCATAAACAGTCACCCAACTAAAATAGGAACAAGTCAATACCTTGGGCTAAACCACCCTGTTAAACTGGTTTGACACTAACTGGTTTCATTTAGAATTTATGTCCTTTCATTGTAATTATATGACTTAAATGAAACAATAGGGGATCTATTCTTAACATTTGATTATCATAGGCAAAATAAAAAGTATATCATTTATTGTGTGTGATTTTTTTTTAAATAACTTCATTAACTTGAATAACGCTGTATTTTTCTCAGCTTTTTTAAAAGCATTACATTGGAGAAAGTTATTATAGCATTTAAATATAAACAGGTTTTCCACAGGTGCGAACAACAGCATCACACTTCAGATTTACATTTGCTTGTTCAACAATAAAAATGTATTATATTCAATTAATAATAATAATAATAACGGATACTTAAAACCTTCTCAGAGCACAAGGGCAATGTTCTACTACTAAATTATATTATACTATGACTGCAACTATTATATAATATAATGTTATAGTTGCTATCATTATAGTTGCAAAATATGTTAAGTATCCATTTTTTATCTTAGTTTTTGAAAAATCCCGACATAATTGTTCAAAAAAGATCAATGTATTTCTGCAGCAGCTTAGAGTGCCCACAAGTTCAAACCAGAAACAAGAAACATGGAGGTGGAAACATTTGCATGCCAGCTTTCCTGGAGATCGGATTAAGGCTCCCCTCTGAGCGCACAGTTTTTTAGTTTTCACTCAAATGCTGCACTATATGTTTATTTTTATTTCAGTGTAAAACATTTGCTGTCTTTTATAATATTTTCTCTCGTATGTTTTCTGTAATTTACTACATTGTGCAACAAAAAGGAAAGTTGTTAAGCTCCTATTGCTCTGAAACATTAATTTATATCTTTTTTTCCTTTTCGATAGAATAGCAACATTTCAGCCTAGAGACTTGAATCCATTCAGTTATTTCCATTCTGGTGGATCATTTTCGAAAATGATAAGCAAATGTGAACAATTTGATTGATCCAGCATTCACACAGCAGGCAGGCGCTTGCATACCACCCACAGAGTTTCCATTTATTTTTCAAAGAGTGGAAAAAAACAGACACATGCTGTGTGGATGACAAACAAGCTAGTGAAAAACTGACCATAGATTACTTTTTCTATCTCATTTCTGCTTGTCAATCTATTGCATGACAACATAGAAGAGAAAATTGTTTTATGTCATTTTCAGGTGGATGTGTCAAGATTTGATTGCTGAAACAAACACATGGCATAGATGTTTGAGGCTGAATGAGATCACCACATTTGCATGTCCTGTTTTCCAGGAGGCACCAATGTTACAGTCTGTAGATACATCATTTCACTGTGGTACTGAGAATGAACAAAGAAGCAGATCAACAAAGAGTCAAAGCAAGCCGGCCCCGAAGGGAGCTGCTGTCATTTTTATGAAGGAGTCATGCCGATGGGAAAACACATAGCTTGGAGAGCATTTGTGCTAATTTACCTCCTTACTAAGTCACATTTTTCTCGGGAGAATGTATTGCTACTCTGGTGAACAGTATAAACTGCAGGGGTTACTGCACAGAAATTTGCAGATGAAATCCCTGTGTTGTGGCTGAGGGTGTCATAATTCTGAAGCTGTTAACTATCATCTGAGAAGGTCTCAGGAGCTTGGAAAAGGTCAGCTCTTCAAGGATTTCATTTATAACTGGTGTCAGTAAAGCTGCCCTGTACTATCAAAGCTGCAATTTTATTATTGAACTGTTGGAAGATTGGTACAAGCAGAGATGCTTTGCTGCAACAGGCATTTAACATATGAGGATCTCTCCTGAAGGCATTTACTCTTGGCAGGTGTACAAAGAGAGAGCCAGAGAGCCAAAACAGAATATTATCTGAAACATTTTTTTTTTTTAGATTTTTGCACTTCTACTGATATCATAATAACTTTTTATACATAGGATTAAATGGAAGTACTCAGCAGAGAGATATAGTATACAAAACTGACTATTATTTTTCAGTTTCCAATTAAATAAACTACCCTCATTAGGGAGTGTTTCATAAATTTGCAGGTTAAACATTTATTCTTAAATTTAAAAAGGAAACTGGTGAAACTGGAAATAAGAACATTCTGCCGCTCCCTCTCACTGTTGGACTATTTTTCAACTCAAATGCCATCATAACTAATAATTACTTGTGCTGAAAAAGTCTGACAAGAAAATCAGGAGTCTTGTCATTGTATTTTATTATTACCTGTCAATCTGAAATCTACAGCTGTTATTACTATTGGTTAATTACTCGTGTTATCTAAATATGGCTTTAACTTTGGGATATTTCTTATAAACACATTAAAGTAATTTTTTTTAGTGAGTTTTTGCGGCACTAGTGGCTCATTTTTTCAACAGTAGGCTGACAGGAGAGAGGGTATGAGAGAGGGAGAGAGACATGCGGCAAAGGACCACAGGTTAGATTTGAATCCTGGGTCGGACGCGTCCGGGACTAAGGACTCCGTACATGGGTCGTTCACGCTAACCGCTGCACCACCTGCACGCCGCAAAGTTATTCTTTTAAGAAAATAAAATGTAATAATTTATTTTACTATTAAATGACAGCCTTGAGTCTGTTCTCTGTAGCTGCCTGGAGTTACGTTGCATCAGATGATTTGCTACCATAGAAAGAACATAGAGGCATCATTTTCCTACCAATTCCTACCTACTGTAGCATACATCTAAAACCTTACTAAAGTAGGCTGCAATGAATTGTTCACACATCAGAACAATCAGCGATGAAGGTTGCAACTCTGGGATGCCATTTATTCTGTTTATGAATGCATAATTTGGGCAATAAGTATTCTAATGTGGATTCAATAAGCAACACTAAGAAAAATAATCCCATAGGGTTAATGCTGACACTATATCAACCAATGAAAAAATACAGAAATAAGGTTAATACTTTGGGTTTTATTGTTACTATGATTAATTCAGCTCTTAACTATTTAACCATTTAAGTGATCTAAAAGGGCGCGAAAGTTCAACATCGATTTGTCTTTGAACCCCTAATTACTCAAAAGAAGAGACATCTCAGCAAAAGGAGAGGATTCTGTCCTGCTGTAGTACAATGCTGTGTATCCTACAGTTTTCATCCTAGTACACACACACACACTACAACAGACATGCTGCAATGAAATTAAATCTTTTAATTTATTCATTTTTCAAAACATTTTTTACATACATGGAAAATAAGAAATAATTTAAAGGTAAATTGAACCCAGTGGTGATAATTGTCCAAAAGCTGAAAATATTTGTATTTTTGAAGATTTTCCTTTTGCTAAAAGAGCATCCCTGTTATGTTTCTTTTACTGTCAGTGTGAATAGATAGCAATTTTTGCTGATATGGTTGGTTGCTGTTTCAAAAATTCCCTCAGTGCTTCAGAGAAGTATCTTGATACTGTTTGACGCGTCTTTAAAAATTAATGTGACAGTTCATGTGACATTGTCAAGGTCTGTGATGTCCCTTGAGCAACATCCAATGACATTGCTCTTCGAAGAGCCCTTTCATTTTAACCTGACTGGTGGATCCAAAAAAAATATCTATCCTGCTCTAAAGTCAAATACACCCATAAGGTGGACAGCTATTCTATTGTATTCTTTTCTATTCTATACAGTTTTTTGTGTTTTTAGTTTAAAGTCTAAAAGATTCTAAGCATGCATACTAACCATTGGCAGGTTTGTCGTAAGTCGTTATGGGTTTTGCCTGAGACTCTGCATTTTCTTTCTTGTGGGAGGCCCCCCTGTTAAATCAATAAATACAGTATGGGTATACTAAAATATACAGAGTAATAATGCTATATAACTTCAGGCTACTTTAATGTGATGAAAAAAAAATCTTTTGAACTAATTTGAAACAAAGACAAAGTTACTGAGTTGTCTCTTTAAATGAGTAACTATATAACGAGCCTCAGTGATTGCTTGCTATCAAAGGAGGTTGTATAAAGGAAAGGTAGCACAAATATCTTTGTTTACATGCTTATATTTTCTTTTCCTTTTAAACACAACAGGAAAATGATGTCTTTGAAAACCACAGCAAGCATCCTGCTGCTTCTTCAAGCATTTCACCTGGCATACCCACAAACTTCAACTGACTCTCCGGGACGTACAATTGATAAGAGCTGGCTCCGTCAGCTGCCCAAAAATCTACTCAAAAGTGAAAATACTACATTTAGTGGAGAAAGCGAATTTGATCTGACAACTAATCCAGTGGCAGATTCCAGCAAAGAATTTACCAGTGGAATGGCATCTGGCTTCATGGCTCAAGAGGAGAACATGACAACTCCTGATAAGAGTTTAGATGAAACATTTGATGATTCCAACATTATGACTACAATCATTCCCGCTGTGTTTGAAAATGAAACAACTGAGGAACCAAATTCGCCAGCTGCAACCATCTCTGAAAGAACAACAACAGAGGCCACAGATTCAATTCAAAGTAACATGACCAACTACGAGCAGGAATTTAATACACCTATGACAACAGGAAGTACAACCACTGTCTCGAATACCAACTTACAGTCCACAACCACCATGGACTCCACAGCCTCCACTGAGCCCACAACCGCCATCGAGTCCACAACCGCCATCGAGTCCACAACCGCCATCGAGCCCACAACCGCCATCGAGTCCACAACCGCCATCGAGTCCACAACCACCATCGAGTCCACAACCACCACAGGGCCCATGACCACAACCGAGTCCACAGCCACCACAGAGTCCACAACAACCATGGAGCCCATAACCACATCGGGGCCCATGACCACCACGGGGCCCATGACCACTACTACAACAATGACCACAACCCCAGGGGATGATAAAGGATTGACTAGTATTACAGAAACTACCAACACACCTACTACAACTACAGCAGCACCTGAGATATATACTTCGACTGAGCTACCATCTGAAACCACCCAAACTACATCTCTATCCCCCACCTCTGTGATGTCAGACATGCCAGATTCGGCTAATAAGACCGGAAAAATTGCAAGCGGCTCAGAGAGGGGCTCTGTGGCAGAATCAGGTATGGAAGACTTCTATACAAATGTTCAGGTCTGTGAATTGTCCTCTTTAAAACTGGGTATGGGTAAACAGCTAAACTAAATTTGGAAAGACACATTAAAGATGCATTCTTTGGTTTTCATGTGGTCTTTGATGTAGAGTGCCCAGACAGTTTTAAAGCTGTAGAAGAAACATTTAATTAGGCTGGATTCCTTGAAGGCAGAGCCAATAAATTAATAAAAAAAACAGGAAAAAAAGACAGCAAATATTATAAACTAAAGCAATAGAAAAAGTTAAATACTTGAGTTAAATACTATGAGATATACTTTGATGTTTCAGATCATCACATACAATTTAGAGACAAATATAACCTGAATAAATATAAAAAGCAGTTTCACTTATTATCGGAAACATAATAACAAGAGACCCAGAGCTGGATCTAAGGGAAAAGTAATAACGCCCAAACCGAATAATTGGTTTTCACACCCCAGGCATTAACAACTGCCAGGTGTTTGCCATTACTGACAACAAGTGAAGTGAGACCTACAGAGCTTCTGATGATGTTCTGGGTTTTTCATTTTTTAAATCACCTGGAATTGTGAGTGACGCTCTGATGGATTTCAGTTTGGTAAACCAGCCACTCTCGGGAAAGTTAATCGCTGCTCAAAGTTTGTGTACAGAAATCTCTTTGTAGGCCTATGCAGACTCATAGATGCTGATTACTTTGGATCTCATCTGTTTTCAAATCCCTTTAGATAGTGGCATGGTTATCTCTCGTGTTTAAGGAGAGATCAGACTGCCATAAAGCAACACTCTGGGTCACATGAGTTATTGAGTGATGGATCCGACCATCTCAAGTTAAATAGGTGCATTTTGGAGAACAGCAGCCCGCATGGAACATCGATACGAAAATAATTTAATATCTCTCAAATTAAGTTGTTGCTTGGGTTAAGAGTTACGCAGTATAAATTCACAGAGTAACTGTGTTTGATGTTCAAAATTTCCTTTACTAGAATATCTGGTGTTTTTCCTCAGAACACAATTGAAAGACATACGTCTTAGAAACGTTTAATACAAACTAATTTTAAGCAGAGAACGACAAGAAATCAGTCAGGCTTCCCCTCAGTTAGATTGCTTATGAGGGCATTTACCATGGTAGCATGTTAACACAGAGGGTATTTCCGCCCTTTCCCTGACCTGCATTTAGCTTCATCTCTTTTCCCACTGGCAGAGGACAAATGCTCGTTCTTTCAAAGGCAAAGGTTGTATTGAGTTTCAGGTTTTATTGATGGAGCCTCTAAGGGAGAAAGGGTCTGTTACAGCTTCTCTCTCAGCTGGACAATGAGACCCTGTTTTAGCTGCAAAAAGCCTGAAAAAAGCCAGCAGAGGACTGGGAACTGGGCTCCCCCAGGAGCGTGAGACTATCTTTGTTTTGTCAACCTTCAGGTTTGGAGGATTCGAAAGTGGAAAAGGCTGCATGTTTTACTGATTCAATTTGCATTTCATTTTTTTTTTCTTCTAGTTCAACTACCTGGAAAGCAACATTTAGGCTAGTTCAGAAAAAACAAAAGGGCTGATAAAGAACTGGCATAGCGTTTGGTTTTAAAATAAAACTCGCATCCCGTGGACAGATGTGACAGGAAGACATAACGCTAACAAATGATGGCAATAAACAGTAGGAAAAACAGTTGTGAAACTGTGGGGGAGCCAGAAGCCGAAGAAAAAAAGAAAAGATTCTCCACAGTTACCATGACAGGCACAATGTGTTCACAAACAACATAGAATGACATTAACTGTGAGCAGATAAAGTTAAGCTTCTATAAATATCCTGTTAGTATAATACTTTCTCTGACCTAAGAAAAAATTTATAATAATAATAATACAACCCCTCACCTCAAGGTGCTTGATCTCACTTGGATACAGTAATTACCACAGTGTTAAAGAAGGCTTCAGGATAAATGATAATGTCAGGTTTAGTTAAACAACTTCAGCAGTTCTAATTTGTCCATTTACTGAGTGTATTCTGTTACTGTTCTCTAGAGTTATCTTTAGGTGATTTATTTCACCCTTAAGCACTTCATATCCAGGCTAAGGAAGCAACATTCAAGCTGCAAAGCCAGGTTATTGAGTTCATTAATAATTATGGTTTGAAATATGACGTAGCACACATTGAAATAAAAATTTTGATGTATCTCTTGATAGAAACAATTTAACAACCCAAACTAAATAAGGGATTTATATATGTTTAAAAACCACCAACCCAAATACTTGTTGACAGCATTTATCGCAGAATTGATCATAATACTGTTCATAAATCTGTTGATCACTAAAAAGATGGGTTTTCTGTATATTTCCTGAACAGAATTTTTTTGTTTGTTTGTTTGTTTGTTTTTAACCTGGAGATCAAGAAGATATGTCAAAATTTGCATATATAATGTGAATAGCCAATTACCAACTTATATTTTCTGTTGGATGATAAAAGTTACTTTTTTTTATTTGTCACCAAAGTACATCTTTCTGTGGCAGATACAAACAGTTGTACTTATGGCAAGGAGTAAGCTTTTCAAACAGATTTTAATGGTATAAGAAAACATACAATTGTGATTTATTTCAAAATGTTATAATCATAGTTGATATATGGGGAGTGGTGGCCTGGTGGTTAGGACTAGGGCATAGGGCTTGGAATCTTTAGGTTGTGAGTTTGAAACCCACTCCCATAGCCTGCTACTCTGGGCCCCTGAGCAAGGACCCTTAACCCCACACTGCTCCCTGGATTCTGCAAATGGCATTCCACTGCTCCCCAATGGGATGGGTGAAATGTAGAGATTAATTTAGTTGCGCTCTATTTGTGACAGTGTAATGACAATAAACGCTGGAAAAAAAGAAAAAAAATATATATATATATATATATAATAGCCAAGCATCTATTGCAACAAAGATATTGCAATAAGGATAAACCAGTAACTAAGACGTGCAATATAGTTTCCGATGTATAAACATCAGATTTGATGTCACTATAACTTTGTGTGCTTTGTTGAAGTGTGTCTTAAGTGACTTATGTTAGGCACTTAGGATAAGTAGAAAAGTTTATCATATGCAAAAAAAAAAAATTCTACTAATTAAGATAATTTGGTACTGCCATCTTAAAAGACATCTAAAAGTTCCTCACTCTGCTTTTTAATTGATAGATAAAAAGTTCCTTAAAGAAAAACGGCAACAAATTGAAGGGAAACTGTAGTTATGTTTTATTCTATCAGAAGTTTATCAATGAGGTGTATTTAAGACTTAAGTCACCCAGTAAAAAAACAACTTAGCATGTCATTACTGAATGTTGTTTCCACCTGATCTTCTGTGCATCCTGTAATTACCTCTGGGCTATAGTGAAATGAATTGTTATATGTGGTCCATCGAGATATCGTCTGAGATAAGTCATCTATGTGTCATTCACTTTTTTATAAAACTCATTTAGATGATGAACTCAGTAAGCCACTCTAAAATATTCAAATGTATTCAGAAAATTATCAGGGTTTTTGGCATGTTAATTGCATTAATTATCACTGTGTAAATTTTGCAATTCTGCCTAAGTAGGATGTGTATCTATGCAGCGTGTCGACACGTTTTTCAAAAACACATTTTCAACCCTAATTATGTGACAATTAGCCCTCAAAGATGGGAGATGATATAAATCATTTAATTGTTGACAAATTATTTATAACTCTTTCCCACCCACACATCCATATCCCTCCTTTCTCTAATGAAGGTTCAGAGCTGGATCCTTACAGAACTAAGAGGAACGCAGCCTGGTTAGCTGTACTGGGAACGGCGGCGGCAGCAGCTGTTCTGGGATTGGTAGCCTACATCATTCTGAAAAAGAAACATCAAAAAGCTTTCTCTCACAGGAAGCTGGTGGAGGAGTTCCCTTCAGATCCAGGTAGGCTAACCCTAGCAAATCTGTTCAGTACAGTAAACATAACTTCATGTCCCAGTAATGCTAAAAAGGCAGGACACCAACCAGGTATTTAAAACATTCTTAAACCATCCATCCAAGTATTTTCCATCTCATCCATCAGGGTCACAGTGGGGCTGGTGCTTAACTCTAGCAGTATATGGGCAAATGAAAGCGTACACCGTGGACAGGTCGCCAGCCTATCACGGGGCAGAGATAAAACCATGCTCACACACACACACCTAAGAGCTATTTAGACTTGCTAATGAACCAAACAGTATTTTTGGGGGGCTGTGGGAGGAAGCTGGACCACCCAGAGAGAACCCACTCATGCACAGAGAGAACATACACTATGCAGAAAGACCGATCTGTAAATACACAGTTTAGTGTGTTCATTCAGTACAGATTGTGCTTCTCCAATGTCTGATTGTGTGTTGTGTCCAAAGCTACAAAAAAACTAACATATGCTACTGATTTCAATAATGTGAAAGAGCTTTTGTCAATATTAAATGGAGCAGTAGCGTGCTTATTTTTGTATTTAATGTACTTTTAAGTTTCAAAACGGTTTCACAGGAAAAAAAATTACATTTTTTTTCTTTTATTCATCGTTTCAAAATTGTTTTTATTAATTTTAAGTTCTAGCATTTCCACTAGATGATGGTCTATACTGTATGGCCCAGCCAAATCTGGATTTGTTTGCCTAAGTGTGACACTTCAACCACAAAAAGCTCATAACACTACTGCCTCAGTCAGCTACTAAGTCACGTTGATACACTGATTTATTGTGAGACATCAAAGTAAAGGAAGTTAAATAAAAAGTGTCATTTTTCAGAGTTTTATTTGATGCAGTAATCTAACACCATATTTCAATTTATCTCTTTTTCACAATCTAGCTCTGCATTGTTTAGCCCCATTAAATTATAAATTCAGGTGCTTCTAAGGTGACAGAATAAGAAAAATGTTGCATGGGTATAAATAGTTTTGTTAATTACTGTGGATAGATGGATGGATGTCCATCTGGCTTATTAGTGGTTGAGTTTAAACTCTAATATAAATGTTGATATAAAACTATCCTAGACCAGATGCCCACGTTATTACATCCTAATAGTCCCCATTTATTTCCCCAGAGAGTTTTTATGTTCATTCATTCACTAGTTTCCACAAGTTTAACATTGTTGGAAGATATGATACATAGCCAATTAACACCTGTTAATGAGAAAGCTTTGGATGTTCTGGCTGGCAGATTTTACAGCCTCCAGACTGCACTGTAACTGGCTGCTATTTGAAGCTGCATAACTCATCCAGCTTTAATAAGGTAACCCTTCAATAATGAGGAAATCTCACCATGCAAAATAGGATCATGTTGCAGGATAGCTAACAATCTGTCTCTTTCCTGTCATAAGCACTGAGTAACTATGCACTTTGTCAGTCACAGTTTCCCCTAAGCACCCTCATATTTAACCTCTCTGTAAAACTCAGAGCAAAATTAAATGGCACAGGACTGCAGGGAACATTTGTTTTCTAAGACACCCACAAGCATATACTCCTACTGCAGATATAGAAATTTCGGGTCATGGTGACAAGTTATTTTGTGTGTGGTCCTCAGAGATTGCAAAAATCAATTAGATATTGACCTATTGTAAGTATGGAACTGTACCCATTGTTCCAATAAAATTATTGTGAAGTTATAAGAAGAATAGTTATTTAATAAAATCCCACTTAGAAATGCCAATTTGATTATATATAAACAGAGGTGATAAATATGCTCACTAGGTACTTTCATTAATAAATTCTTATTATGAACATTTTTCTCATAAAATTAATCTATATAGATGGTGTTGCATAGATAAATCAATAATGTTAAATTGTGTTCTCGTTGTTTCTGTGTACATTTGTATTCTTCCCCGAATCAAATGTCCTACAGATGTTAATGATTATTTGCACTTTTTTTTTTAGCTGTTCTAAAAGTGTTGTGTCTATAATTGCAGAGATTGTTTTGTATTTTTCTAAACTGGTTGCTGTTTTTCTTTTTTCTGTTTTTTAGCTAAAACATTTCTAACTATATTACCTGAACATAACTTTTCTTATCAACTGTACACTACGTCATTGATCTCTGAGACTTTTCTTTTCTTATTTCGCTTCACAGCTTCACTTTTGCATTTTTGTTCTTTCTCTTTAAATTTTACTCTTATGTCTTCTGTTTGCTTTTTTTGTCATGCTCAAATGTCCCTAATTTTGGATGTTATTAGTAATTCTTATCAATTTATCTTATAAAGATATCTTATCTTATCTCTTTTTGACCTTGTTTGTTCCATAACAGGAGTTATAGAAACCCACACAAAATTACTTTAAGCTTTTGCCTTTTTATAGACTTTCCTATTAATTAATTTTTTACTGTTTGGCATCTTATTTTTTGTGATCATGAAGTATCGTAACCCTACCTAACCCTATTTACATCTATATTTTACATATCGTATGTCACACAGATAGACTTACAAAATACGAAATAGATTTTTTAAAGACTTTTTTTTTAGCACATACAGTCTGGTTGGTATCCCTGCAATGTCAGCACAACTTTTCATGACTACCAAAAGAGCAATATTAGAGTTTAGTTGAGTTTTAGATTAAACACCTAACTAAATCAACATGGTGTTAACATTATTTCTAAACAACTGTTTTTAGGGGTTGAACATGAGAGTCAAGTGTTAACTACAGCCAACAAGCCAATGAAAAAAGATTAAAATATTTCTACTGATTGATTCAATTAAGTGAGAAGTAAAAAAAAAAAATACAATGTCATAATCAAATGTAAAAATACAAAAAAAATGTAACAATGATTTGGATTTTCAGTTCACAGATTAGACAACGATGAACCTTTGGACCTAAACTATGGTGGTTCAGCTTACTACAACCCAGCACTCCAGAGGGACAGCATCCAAATGACCAACATTCCAGGACGCCGTTGAAACTGAAAGCACTTCTGGGAGAAAAATGATCATTTTTGGAAAAGAATGTGACATTTTTGGAAACGGACTGTTGTAGAGTTGCACTTGTTAATGGGAAAAGGGATCAATTTCCAATAGATTAGGTTTGAGATACAAATAATGCATTGTATTTGCAAGAAGACTCTAAGTTATACTGCAATAGCCAAAATGAACTTTCTGCCATTTAAGTATGTTGCCAAAGGGAAACAAATGAAGTCATTCTAACATAAAAAATTTCTTTTAAATTTGTTTTAATGAAGGATTTAAAAGGTGTTTTGGTACAACTTTTGTGAAAATATTTTACAGGCCAAAACGGCATCCAAAACATTCAAAACTAGAAAATAAAACAAAAATATAACATTGCTCCTATGGCTTAATAGAAAGGAAGTGCTGGTTTTGGACCATTTGGATACCTGAGAACACTGTTGACCAGCTGTTATATTTGAACCCAATTTCAGAAGCCCAGATGAACAATCACTTTACGTATATTTACCAGCAATCTTCTGCTGTTACAGCATGATGCAGGACACAGGTCATATTAAAAGTGTAATTTGAGCTATTCTACAACTGGCAATTTACAGCCAGTTTGAGAGTTTGAAAAATGAAGGACTAAAAAGGAGGATTTTTGTTTCCATGAGAGAAAGCTGGACGCTGTTTTCTAACTGATTTTTCTTTGAAATTGAAGGTGTGTATTTGTTACTTTTAGGGACTTTTTTAGTTACAAAAATATATCATAATACACTTTTCATCTCATTCAGTCTCTAGGTGTCTGAGCAGAGATCTGCTTGTAGTATCAGCCTGCTCTTTGGAGAATTATATGGTTTTTACCTGCTGCATAAAGTAACTATTAATTATAGATTGGTTTTCTTTATTTTTAATCAAGGGCTTGAAGGCCTTCGAAAAGAAAAGCCTCTCTTGTAATCATATCTCTGCCTTATGTATCGCAACTTTGTAATTTTATACCTACATTCACATATACCGTACTTTATATACATATATATATAAAATCAGGATAGGTTTGCTACTGTCTACTTTTCTGGTTTACATAAGAATTTATCATCACACATGTCAAGCAAAGAACCACTCAAAATAAATGTTTGGCTGCTTCCATCCCTTCACTCTTCATTACCTGAATGAAGTCTGCACTCCATCAATATCTTCTGTCAATATGATTGATTTGTACCTTGGCTTGGCCTAAACAGCCAGCAACAAGTTGGAAACTGTTTTGCTTTGTTGGTATATCCAGCAGGTGTGGCAGATTTGCTTCCTTCCTTCCTATTTGTAATTTCTGACATCAATCAGTGCTGTTGCTTGTTCCCCCTAAAGAGTCACAGCAATTATAGCTGAAATAATGGAGAAGATAAATAGTGGGGGATTTTAGACCCTCTGCTGGTTAAAAAGCTTCACATCTTGACAATTCTTGGGCAAAAGATTAGCAACAAGCATTAAAATAATTTTATTAGTTGGACAATTTTCAAAATCTAAACACAAAAAAATATTTTTAATCTCCTCAAACAGAACATGCAAAAAGTATCATATTGTTGTTAACATGGGGGATTGAATTATGTTATTCATTTACAGTGCATTGCTAAAGTTCTCATGACATCAGACTTTTTTCATACTTTTTCACAATGTTCAATGTCATTTATTAGGTTTCTATGTGATAGCCAACCTTAAGTAGTGCATGCTAATGAGTAAGCAAGATGATTTGAAAGTCTACCACAGCTTTCCAGTCAGATCAAGGTCAAGACTTTGAGTGGGCCATTCTAAGACAGGGAGTAGTCTGCTGAGAAGGAAGAATACAGAAGAAGGAATACCATCATTCCCTATGCTGCTGGAGTATCTGAAAAACTCAGGAGGATTTTCAATCAGCACCGGATCCCTTTGCACTTCAAACCTGGCAACAACCTGAGACAAAAACTGGATCACCCCAAAGTCAAGACACCCAGATACAAGACCGACAATGTGGTTTAGGCCATTTAGTGTAGGGAGAGCACAGACCTGTACATTGGAGAGACCAGCAACCACTACACAGGTGCATGGCTGAACACAGGAGGGCCAACTCCTCAGGACAGGACTCAGCTGTTCACCTGAAGGCTTAAGGACACTCGTGCGAGGTAAACCACGGCCATATTTCTGTGAAGGGAGGTAGATGGTTTGAGTGAGGGGTTAAGAAAGCCATCTTTGTTAACCTGGAAAAACCATCACAGAACATAGGAGGTGCTCTTAGACATAACCTGTCACCTACTGTAGTAACAAAGCACTTTTAGGTACATTACCCAGAAGATTCAAAGAACCTGAATACAAGGAAACAACTTCACAATGTATTTGTTCTCTACTTTACCCTTGTGTAAAATGTAAAGGCTCCACAAACTTTCAAAAAACATTCTAAGTTTAAATCCTAATATTTGTCACACTGAAAAAAAAAACAACTCATAAGAATTATTTTAAAAACTATATTGTAAGTATTTACACTCAAACAATTTAGGTAAAATGTAATACTGCAATATCAAGTAACAGCCACTTGCCAGTATCAAGTGAATTTTGTTTTCCGTAAGGCAAAACAGTTGTGAAGATATTAAGTAACATTTACTTAATTACATCCAAGTTGTAAGTTGGATTTATTTAAACAAATTATGTAAAGTGTACTTCCTTTTTATTCGCACAAAAAGCATTTCACTCAAAACTAAGTAATGCTTATTTCCCTGTAGTATTACAGGTTAATCATTTCTTTGGTCTTGACATATTGATTTACTTTGATGCATTTTTTTTTTTTTACATTACTCACTACTTTTTTTTATATAAAGATTACCAAATAAAATTGAACCAATAGTCTATACATTAAATAAACATTAAACAGTTTACTTTTCATTTTAAACAGTTTAACAAAGAAGTAAATACCCTATTGTATTAAATTGCCCAATCTTTCATGGGCCAGCCAAAACTGGAATCCATCCATCCATCCATCNCATCCATCCATCCATCCATCCATCCATCCATCCATCCATCCATCCATCCATCCATCCATCCATTCATCCATCCATCCATCCATCCATCCATCCATGTTGGGGTCATGTGGGTTGTACCAACTGGGTGAGAAGCGGGGTACCCTGGACAGGTCGCCACTGCAGGGCAACACAGAGATGAACAGGACAAACAAGCATCCATGCAAACACTCACACCTAAGGGCAATGTAGAGAAGCCAATTAACCCAACAATCATGTTTTTGGACTGTGGGAGGAACCTGGGGTACCAGGAAAGAGCATGCTCCGGGAGAACATGAAAACTCCACACAGAAAGACCCCAGGCCATGAATCGAATCCGGCCTGGTCCTCTGAAACTGAGAATTTCAACATTCATTGCAAAAATATACTCATATGTAAGATCAAGAATATTTAACTTACAAAAACATGCTCAACAACTTCTGGGCAAGGGTCAGAACAGAAACACCCTCTTAAACTTTGAGCAGTGATGTAAAGATTATATATGCCTCTTTTTAAAAGAAAAAAAAAAGCATGTGCAAATATAACATTAATTGTAAAAGTGCATTATGTTGTACTGCATCAGAATTTGTACTGAAAAAAACTAAGGTTGGTGTGACTTGTAAACAACAAATACACAGTAATCCAACACAGATCTGGTAATATTGTCACTACTCAAATAAACAATAAAAATCTTACAAATCTACACACTGAAACAGTGCAATTTCAACATCTAAACCAGTCGTCTAGACTAGTGGACTTAAGAATGCAATTGCAACATTAATGAAACAAAAATAATCACAGTTAAAAATTAACAGCTTAAACTATCTAACCAATCTCAATGAAGAATAAAATCTCTACTAGAGATTTGAATTAATATATTTGTTATTTTTTTTCCAAATAACATATACCTTATTTGGCAAAAAAAAAAAAAAAAACATTAATGACAGGCAACCTTCCAGTAAGAATAACTGGAACCCACTGCTAATTCTTGGCATTTGATGCATCATTTTCCTACCCTAAGATGACGAAGTCATGAATGCATTTAGGAAAGCAACTTCAACTTCTGGGTGTTTACTTTAGGGGACAGTTTAAATTCATCGAACTCCAGAAAAAGTTTTTGGAGGACTTCAAAAATGCAGCGCAAGGTGGGAGGGTTTGTCATGTTCAGGGCATATATCAGTCCCATGAGCAACATGCAGGCTTTTGCAGTAATGTAGCACCCTGCCAAAATGACTGTCGTTGGAACTTCCTTTTGCTCTGTGTGTGATCCTGTAACGTCTGGACTCGGAGCAGAATCAATCCTGCTGTGAGCTACAGTGCACATGCGCCATGTGTGCGTTTCGCTACATGACGCTACATTTTTAGAGTAAAGTTTATGTAGTATTTTTAGGTTTATGTACCTTTGCTATTAAACATTTAAATAGTATAAGGAAATCAAAGAAAAACTTACTCTTTCCCGAAAATGCATGTATTACATTAAAAAAGGTTAAATTTTACCTCAGAAACCTAAAAATAAAGTAGAAATTACGACAAATACTATAATAGGATTAACTGCACCAAAAAGCCACTTTTTTTCAGTGCAGGTGTTTAAAATAATTACCTGGTTCCAGTCCTTTGATAAATCCAATTCATGATTTTGAGAGGTATATGCAGGTTAATTTAAACATCCACCTGGGCTAAATCCTTTGAAACAAAATTAAATGATTCCCATCTAAATTGGAGCCATGTCTGCTGTTTATTGGTTAAATTTGAATTCATTATCCTGAAGATAATTTGCTGAAAATTTGTTTAACCTACAAGCCCGACCTTTTGTAATATTTAAATTAGTGTGAGTCTATCTGATGAGCCAGAGGAAACATTTAGGTGGTCAGCAGTGCATTGTGCAGGAAGTCGGATTTTTAATTAACATAGGGTCTTGTCATAGACTCAAAGGTGGAAAGATGGAATAAAAGGAAAGTTTCCTTAAATTAGTTTCAAAGTACCCATTGCTGCATATTTTGTGTTATTTTTCTTTCAAATGAGCAGATCTGCTGTCAATTATTCTTCAGTATGTGCTTCAAAAAGCCACGTACAAACTGTGATACTTGTAGTACTTCTGTTTTAGTTTTAAGTAAGCCTTAGAAAATAAGTTTAGAATTTGACATCAGTATTCAAGCGATTAGTCATTACTTTCAAACAAAAACTTAGAGAAATGTTAGTTTAATTTATTTTCCAAGATGCACAACATTCTCACCATGCAGGCCTCATATCCTTACAGTTTCAGTCGCAAAGCCAATTAGTACAAAGAAGTCTATGAGCCTCTTAACTCCATCATGGAAAGGCCATTGGGGATCTCAGGATACGTGAGGGATTGTGACTTATGTTACATAGGTGGAATATGTCTGTTGTGCCAACTACTGCTCTCCTGACGCTGCTTTCCAAATGAGTCAAACATAAAAAAACTTCAGACCTCCTACCCAGCATGCCAGCAACACCTTTGAAGTCAAAAGCTTAAAGCAGAGCAAACTTGCTGATTTAGGTTTCTCACAGATTCTAATGCCACTCAGTGTCTCAGCTTTCACAGAAAGCAGAATTGATCCTCCATATTAAATTAGCTCTATGACTCATCTATT